TTGGTTAAATGCCGATTGTTTTATAACTGTTGATAAAGTGTTTTACACCGAGGGTTCCAAAGTTTATCAGTATGTAGGAAGTAAATACCAAAGGTTTCTAAATAAATAATGATTGTAGATAGAAATTTTCCTAGTTCCTTTGCTTTAAGGTTTATCTGATGACTGAGTTTAGTTGTTTGTACATAATTTCTAAGTTTCCTTGAATCAGAAGGTTTTACATAGATATATAATTTCTGAGTTTCTTAATACAAAGTGCGTTTCGTTTCCTAGTTTCTTGAGTGCATATAAAATCTTAGAAACTGTGTAGATTGTATAGATACTGCCAGCAAGCTGTACTGAAAGGATCTGTGAAATCAGAATTTGATTCTGGGATTAGACTCAGCGCTACACCTCTCAGCTACGCAGTATTATCACCAATCTGACCAATTTTCAGGCTAGTTACTCCATGAAGTCAATATAATCTTAGTGGAATTAATTAATTCTGTTCATAAAACAGTTTAAAATGCAACTCTTACAAGAAGAAGGAGCTCATTCCCTCTCAATAAGCATCGCTGGTTCCATGGGTTCTCCGGGTAGTATAATGGGTTGGTAGGAAGGATTTAAAGGACCCCCTGGATACTTTAAGAATATATTTAACCTCACACAAGAGTTTTTCTAGTAATGTCCATAGTGCAACAAAATGCATTATACAACAGGAAACGGTTGAGAGAAGAGGGAGGGGGAGAGAACGAAAGATTTATGTTTTATTTATGTACTTTTAACTCACCTTGGGAAGTTCCCTTATAGACCTTGCAACCGCTCCGGAGAGAAGTTGATTCTCTATTTACCGTTCGCAGTCTTATAGATAGCTGCATATTAAATATTTGTTTGTACCTAGAAGGGGAGGAGGAGAAGGTAAAGGAGGAAGAGGAGGAGGAGGAGGAGGAGGAGGAGGGAGTGTGATGTGTTGAAATTGTTCTCTGCTGGAACCTATGGTATGGAACCCCACTGAGACCTCACACCTTCCAACAGCTCCGGCATTTCATACATCAACTCATTTAAAAGAGATTTATCATCTCCCGTGTCTAGCCTGCCAACACCAGCTTTAATTCAATCTCAAGGAACAAACTATACGCGCATACATTCTAATATAATCAGGACCTGGAGCATTAGGTGCATAGACCTGGAGCTTACAGTTTCTCCAGTCTTATTTTATAAACAGTAGCTTCCTTATCTCGGAGGATATACAGTAGATCTCCAGTCCTGGAGCATAAACAGTGGTTTCCTTATCGTGGATTGTATACAGTAAATCTCTTGTCCTAGAGCATGTTCAGTAGTTCTCTTGTCCTGGAGCATATACAGTTGTTCTTCAGTCCTGGAGTGCATACAATAGGTCTCAAGTCCTGGAGCATACTTAGTTGTTCTTCAGTCCTGGAGTGTAAACAGTAGTTATCTTGTCCTAGAGCATGTTCAGTCGTCCTCTTGTCCTGGAGCATATTATACAGTTGTTTTTCAGTTCTGGAGTGTATACAGTTGTTCTCTTGTCCTAGGGAATGTTTAGTAGTTATCCAGTACTTGAGTATATTCATTATACATTATATATTCATTCTTAAAGTTGCTCTTCAATCCTGCATGAGTTTATACAGTTCCAATTCTGGACCCCTTTAGTCCTAATTAACTCCGCATTTTTGGAATAATTTAAAAATATTTATATCCAAGGGATTCATGAGAGAGAAGGATGGAATATCTAACTGTAATAGTTCACGCTGAATTCTCCTTTAATCTTTAGAATATTTTCAACTTTTTCCTTAATCCCCTACATCCTTTATTTTCAAAACCTAAAGTCATTTTTTTCAATTTCACAGGAAGTAATCAATTATCCTGGGACAAAAAGGTTTAACATTTGTTAGAATTTGTCAAAGGTTTGCCGAAAGATGGATAGGATATCTATGTTTGAATATTTCCTGAAGTTAGAACCAATGGTTGTGGAATTCTAAGGATTGTGATCAAACAATAGGATTTCCTGAGACCCCCAGAGCAGGGTTTCAATACCCCGGAGTATACTCTAGGTGGGCCCAGGAGCACAGGGGGGCAGGCGGTCACATTGATTCATTGTTAAAGGGTTAATATACTGACAGGGAACCTGTTATATAAACTACAATATATTTCCGCTCTTCAACTCTAGGATGAGAATGAGATCCTTTTACCCAAACAATTCAGGGTTTTAGGTTTTCTATCAGATCGACTCATAAAACTATTAATTCTCACGAACTTTAACCGAATTTTCCTTGCGCCCTAAAGCTAAGCGGCGTTTGTTGAAATCATTTTATTTCGGTTAAAATTATGTATTTCTGTCTGTCATCAACTTCATCTCTTCTATTTTTGGTTTTTTTCTACCACAGATGAGCTTTACGATCGTACTGCAATTAATGAGCATTAAACAAGAGATTTAATTAGTCTAGTAATTTATTTTGAAGCTCGATCCGTGCAAAGGAATCGAGTATTTGCTTTACCTCAAATTTGCCCATCCCTATAATTTAATTTAAATTTAATTCTAATATGTTTTTTACTAATCTGAACAAAATAATAAAACTCTGTGTCAGAATATCATAGCACAATTATTAACTGATCCTTGTGTTATTTTAAAGGGTGGCGTCCAGAATCTGTTTTCTTAAAGGAATTTTAACCGGTGTTCAATAGTGCAGATGATTAATACTCTGTTTAGGTACCCAGAGCCTGTAGACAGTGATGAAGTGCTAGAAAGGGAATACTAAACTTCTTTCTATCCAAGTGCTCGGTCCCTTTTGACTTTGCTGTATAAAATAACCCCATCCCTAAACCTAATCCTATCCCTGTGGTATAAGGAGTACCATGATTTTACGGAGTTTGATGAGTGTGACCTGAGTCTAATTCTTGGATCTAATCTAGATTTCACAGATCTTAAACCGTTCAAATCTATCCTCACCTTTACACAATATTTATCTACACGGATAATATAACGCTTAATTACCACAGATTATATTTGTTCTTCCAGATCTACTTTAGATACAATATCTTTTGTTTCTCTTTTATAATCTCGAATAGAAACAAATTAAAATCATATTTTCCATTTCGCGCACGTTTTTCAAAATAAAAAGAATATTTTGTAATTTAGATATAGATTTTTAATACATTTTTCTAACATCGTTCAAAGGTTATAATGCAAGGAAAGTTAATTGCAGTTGCGTATACTCTGCGTACATAATATTGAAACCAGTTCTCTCTGGGAGGAATTTGTAAACAATAATAAATGTATCAGTGTTAATTTAGTATCCGAGGAGGTTAAAAGCATTAGATTTTGATAATTTTGATAATTCACATAATAGCTTTGTATGACCATAATATTTCATTGAATTTTTATGTGAAAGAAGGATCCCATGTCAGGCTTCGACATCCGTCTCGTGTTTACATTACCGCCAAGAGACAGTACACTGCAGTACAAAAGATGCGTACACCTCTGAACTAACTTTCCTTGCATTATAACCTTGCATCGCACTTTATTCAAAATAGAAACTATGATCCGCTATTTTTTATATAAATACATTTGAATGTAGACGTCTCACTCTTCTAGAATCAACTTTAAGTATTGTGAATATCTCCCCCATTATCCCTTTACCTCTGCATCCCCTCACGTATACCACTGTATCCCCTCAGCCCCCCCCCCTCATGAATCTAAGAATAAATGATGCTGCAGATGGAAAAATATCCATTTAGCCAATCAATAGCGCCGTTTTATGCCAGTCACACAACTCATTCCTTACCATTTTCTCATTGGTCATGGATATACGACACTACACAACACATCTGCAGATCTCCAGGCTTACTATAGGAGCCAATCCGTACTCTGGAACCATACTCTTACAAACTTCATTATCATCCATAATCATCCATACTCATTCTTACTCGTCCATACTTATCCATACTTATTCATACTACTCATCCATACTCATCCATACTCATCCATACTCTTCCGTACTCATCCATACTCATCCATACTCATCCATACTCATCCATACTCATCCATACTCATCCATACTCATCCATACTCATCCATACTCATCCATACTCATCCATACTCTTCCGTACTAATCCATACTCATCCATATTAATTCACAATTTACAATTATCTTCGAATTAAATAATTTGTTTGATTATCCAATATCTTAGATACAACCTTCCGAAGTTTATCCCTACAAATATGTGATCACTCATGAAAACTGTTTTAAGTATAATTTGTTCCTGATTTGTACATTAATGTAGAAGGTCTAGAGTACGATTAATCCTTCTACAGAAGATGGATGGGAAAACTTAATCTTTAACATTCCTGTATATACAGGCTGAGGTAGATAAATAGAAAAGTAAACATGTTTGTGTACGAGTATGTGAACATCTGTGAATGTTGTATAATGTATTGTACTGCAGACCGCCAAAGTGTATTTGGTGTGTATTGTTGGTGTATTGTTGGTTGAGTGAATTAGTGCGGCTCATAGAGTTCAACTTCAAATTCAGGGTTGAATCTCTATCTGTCTAGTTGTCTGGTCATTCGGTCTGTCTGGTCATCTTTGAACTTTTTTCAAAATTTTTCATTCAACAAATATCAGCAAATAAACAAAAAAATGTCAGATTCGAAAATGTGTATTTATTTATAAGAAAAGAAATTCTCCAAATCTTATAATAGTGTATTTAAAGAAGAAACTGAATACTAGCTTCAACTAAAATTTTCTTAATATAACTTTAGTAGGAGTTAAAAGGAAGTGAAATCATGACAAAGAGGAGAAAATAAGAGAGAGAAAAAGAGTGAAAGAGAGAGAGAGAGAGAGATTAGACCCCCCACATATTCGAACCCTGGAATTCAGTGGATAGATAGATACAAGATCAATCAATTCATTTTACTCAATACAGGGAAATTCTCTCTCAATACAACATATCCCCCATTCTGTATATTTGGTTTAAATCTGGTGTTTCCAATTTTTAGAACTTAGTTCGCATTCAATAATGATTTATTGGTAATTTTATTTCATACGATTATCTCATCTCACATGACATGATATGTAATAGTTAGCAATTGTAAGAGACATTGATAAATATGAATATTGATATAAATAAATTAAATATCTATATATCTTTGTTATATTTTATCCGATTAAAGTTTAAATATTTGATGTCTGGAATGCTGGTGGATTCAATGATCACTGATTAGTCCGGACACATGAGAAGAATTTGTTACTCCTGCTTCGTATCCCAGCATCCTGGTTTCTAGCGTTCAAATTACTCCTGAAAACGTATTTTTTCTTCGTTTCGTTAAAAACAGATTTACCTCATTTTGATTGCAACAAACATTAATTATTTTACCTCCAAATTGTTTTATCATTCCTGTGTTTCCTGGGTTTGAATGCTTTCGGAATCCTAGGCCTGGCTAATACAACCAAAAAATGAAGAACATTTGAAAACACTCCCATTTTAGATTTCTGTTTTAGTGGATTTTTACAAATTATTTTGCGAATTTACAATGGCAAATTTCAGAGATAAATAATAAGCCAATATAACTTAACAACATTTTTGATGGGTAATTGTTTTATTCTAGACTAAAAGCAATAAGGAAACTTTTTTTTTAGGTTTAAAATAGTTTAAATATTATTATGCTTATCAAAATTGTTCAATTCTTCATTTAATTTGCTTAGAACATTGTAAATAGCGTAAAGGTCCATTCATTAAGTTCGATATGAAACCATTGCTGGAAACTTTAAATAAACGAAATTAGCCAATCACATTCTTTTCATGTAAAAATTATCTAATCTCCATGCAGTTTCAACTGAAAGAAATTGAGTCTTTGTCACAAACTCTGACTTTCTAATCCCTATATCTTTGCAACCCATGTCGTAGACCTTAGATATTTCAAACTAGCAATTCTGTTAAATCAATTAACCTAAGTTTATAATATAAAAGGTTTACATCGTCAGGTTGAAAAGATGTAGGGATTATAAAATATAAGTTTGAGGCAAAAACTCAATTTCTTTGTTTCGCCTGTAAAGCTGGGCATTATTAAGATTATGAAAGATTTGACAGAGTAAGCTCTAAAAATAAAAATAAGTACTTTTAAGATTATCTTTTGTTTTATTTAAAAATAATTTCTTAAATACAATAATGTGTTTAATATTGTCTCAAAATCTTATATTTGTTAAATTCTGGTTTAGATTGATGTTTGGATTATTTTGAGGTATTTGAGACTGATGCTCCCAATATCCGGCCTCCCCCTTGGTATTTATCTATAAATAGTGTATATACAATAAACAGGAGCTTTTTTAAATTTTCCAGTCAACTTGGCTTTAATGTAACTGGAGCAAATATCCTTTGAGAGAAGAAGGAGGGATGGAGGGGGGGGGGGGGGGTAAAGCTGTTAAAATATGTTTGCAATGTATGTTCGGTCTCTTTACCATCACATCCAATACCTGTAAATACTTTAGTCTCGCCAATAACACTTCCAAAACAAATTTCACGTTAAATTGTGTCTGTGAGGCGTCTCAGTGTCTGGTGGGACTAGATATGTCCCCACATTCCTTGTTACTCCAGGTCCTGGTGGTACCTAGAGTAAGGATGAATCCTGCGGTATTCTCTAAAGGTTTGGAACCCACTGTGTTACTGCGGGCGCCACAGTTTTCATCAAATTGCTAAATTCTCAATTTTACACAAAACACGACATTAAAGTCAAATTCGTTTTTTTGTCCAAGTGCCGAGCTGAAATTGGATTTTTATTCTGCGTAAAATGCACATTTAACATCCTCTAGGGAGGAAAACTTTTGAACTGGTTTTATTTTGACTGATATTGAAGAGTTGTATAGGGTGGAATAAGGATGGAAAGGGCAGAGGGTCCAGCTAGTGTAATCTGGAAATAATTAGAAGATATCACATTAATCAACAGGTGTTCAGAGATCTTCAGTATCCTTGGAATCGCCATCCTATCCATCCTATCCATCCTATCCATCCTATCCATCCTATTCATCCTATCCATCCTATCCATCCTATCCATCCTATCCATCCTATCCATCCTATCCATCCTATCCATCATATCCATACTATCCCTCCTATCCATCCTATCCATCCTATCCATCCCATCCATTCCATCCATCCTATCCATCCTATCCATCTCATCCATCCTATCCATCCCATCCATACTATCCATCCTATCCATCCTATCCATCCTATCCATCCTGACCATCCTATCCATACTATACATCCTATCCATCCTATCGGCATTCATTCTCTCAATGCTCTCCATCCTCCAGTTCAGATTAAGTTTCAAATCTCCAAATATATATTAACCATCTTCTGCTGCCTGATACAAACGTTAACCCTGAGTCAAGTATTTGATATTTAGAGGATTGACAGCATTGTCACGCAAACACTAAAATCTTGTAATTGCTCAGGGTCCTTCCTTGACCTGGGTAATAGACTTGTCAACATATAGTGTCAGGCAACCCTACACTCCTCTTTAATTATCAAGCGCCGCTAAACACAATTTTAAAATATACAAATCTTCCAAACAAAGGGTAAAAAATCCGCTAGATGATCTTTGAAATAATTTGCTGGGATGGCTCATATGGTTAATTTAAGAGCAGATTAGGGTACGTTAGGATAGGTTAAGATGGGTTAGCTAGTTAGGGCTGGGTTGCTTAAAATGAATTAAAATAAAGAAAGGAGGATTTAAAAGAGTAGAATGAATAACTGAAAGGATTAGGAACTTTACGCAAGGGCAAGAAGTTAGGAAAGTAAGAGTAAGGAAGTGTTTGATAGGTTGGGTTAATAGAGTAAAAAAGGGTATGGTATCGTGGGGAAGTAAAGAGTGATGAAGGATATGGTAGGTCGGGTAAGTAAAGAGTAATAACGTGTATAGTAGGATGGGTAAGTAAAGAGTAAGGAAGGGTATTATAGGATGGGTAAGTAAAGAGTAAGGTAGGATATGGTAGGGCCTGTTAGAAGAGAATAAGGATGGGTATAGTAGGATGGGTAAGTAAAGAGTAAGATAGGATATGGTGGGGTCGGTTAGAAGAGAGTAAGGATGAGTATGGTATGATGGGTAAGTAAAAAGTAAGGAAGGATATGGTAGGATGGATAAGTAAAAAGTAAGATAGGATATGGTAGGATCGGTAAGAAGAGATTAAGGAATGGTATTGTAGGATGGGTAAGCAAAGAGTAAGGTAGGATATGGTAGGATGGGTAATTAAAGAGTAAGGTCGGACATGGTATGGTGGGTAAGTAAAGAGTAAGGTAGGACATGGTAGGGTGGGTAAGAAAAGAGTAAGGTAGGACATGGTAGGATCGGTAAGAAGAGATTAAGGAATGGTATTGTAGGATGGGTAAGCAAAGAGTAAGGAAGGATATGATAGGATGGGTAAGTAAAGAGTAAGGTAGGACATGGTAGGGTGGGTAAGTAAAGAGTAAGGTAGGACATGGTAGGGTCGGCGAGGAAAGAGTAAGAATGCAGGATTTGTGGGTGGGTGAGGAAAGAGAAGAAGCTATGGCATGATGGGTAGTTGAAGAGTAAGGAGGGGTATGTACTATATATGGTAGGACGGGTGAGGAAAGAGAAGAAGCTATGGCATGATGGGTAGTTGAAGAGTAAGGAGGGGTATGTACTATATATGGTAGGCCGGGTGAGGAAAAAGTAAGGAAGGGTATGGTAAGTTAAGTAAGTTAAGAGTAAGGGAAAGAGGATGGTAGTGCGGGTAAGGGATAGGGTTAGGATTAGGAAGTTATGGTACGATTGGTAAGTAATGGGGAAGGGTAATGGTAGGATAGGTATGGAAAGAGTCAGGAGGGTATGGTAGGATGGATAAGTAAAGAGTAAGGAAGAGTATATACTATATACAGTAGGATAGGTAAGATAAATTAAGTAAAAGAACAATATTTAAAAAAGGGGTAAAATTGTATGAAAATAGATTTTTAAAAATTCTTTTCTCGACCAATCTTTTTACGTATCAGTAAAAGTTTAATGTAAAATACTTGAGTATATTTGGATAATTACTGGGTTCTGCAGGTTGACACTACTAGCTCCACCCTCTGCTAATTACTGGACCCTACTAATTATCCTACTAAGATAATTTCAAGGCTAACTCTTAATTACTTGTTGGCTTGCAGTAAAGAACTGAAGGGAAAGTATGTTGTATATTAACGAGAGGAAAAATTACCGGTTTACTAAAAAAGACTAAACGGTCAAATAAAATATGTTGATATCTGAGATAAAAAACTAATGTTTTTGTTTTGTTTTTTATTACACAAGGTAATTTAGATTCAGGTTTACAGTGATCCTAAGGTTGCAAGCTCTCAAGCAAACATCGATGAGAATTACTTCTTTAAATCTAAGGCTAAAATCAAGTGCTTTAAAGTCCTAATATGTGCATGTCTAGGGCTACCAAAAAGGTAAGTTAAATGTGATGTAAAATCTAAGGTCGAGGCGTTGCAACACTTCAAAGTCGAACCAGTTAAAAAAAATTATGCAGTGTGGATCTTTGTGGTTTCATAGTTAAAAATGTAGATTTTTTTTTTGGGGGGGGGGAGGTTATGTTCTTTATTTTTTGGTTGGCTACGTGAGTTGAATATTTGAGCATAGACTTTGCTTTCTGGATTTGATATTAGAGATCGAATACTTGAGTCGGATAATTCTTATCCTGTCCGGACGTGTGTACTGTGTAGTTCTATAGTACATACAGGTTCGTATGTCCATGATTCCATAGACCCTGTACATGACTCCATAGACCCTGTCCATGACTCCATAGACCCTGTACATGACTCCATACACCCTGTCCATGACTACATAGACCCTGTCCATGACTCCATACACCCTGTCCATGACTCCGTAAGTCCTTGTTTCGATCACAATTTTCCACTTTTTACACTTTTATACTTTTTTGTACTTTTTTGTTTGCGGATGTGGTATGAATGAAAAAAAGACAACTCCGTAAGTTAAAGACTGTTTAATTATAAACCAAAATGAGATTGAATTCAAATAGAAGAAACTGAAACCCTCTCTCTCTGGATAGTCTAGGGTTCTTAGACGGTATGAACTGTTTTTTGCATTTTTTTTTTGCATAAACTTTGTTATCGGAAAATCTGATCAATTCAACTTTTCTCTTTCACTATATACTTTTGAAACAAACAAAGAACACTTTTAACAGTGGAAACCATTAAACTATGGAAAAGGAGAGTCATTTCTTTAAAAACTTGGTTAATTTGATCTTAGTTTTTCTTTAAAAAGAATTTAATAAAAAAACACTGATTTTTCTAGTTTGATAAAGGGATTTAATCTTATTTCTTATGTGTTTTGGAAAAGCTAAAAGAAATGCTGAACTTGTTATTCATGTTTTTTTTCACTAAATTATAATAGCACCAAACCCCAGATTTCGCACGATGATTTTATGAAACACGAGTTGTCTTTTTAAAAACAAAGAAATCCGCAAACCTTCCAGAAAAAAATTTCAAAAATTAAACCTTCCTCAGCTGACATTTCTGACTAGAATTTATCCTTCTCATTAATTCCTTGCATGTGCACCTAGTTGGATAGTGTCCGCCCCCCGCAATCACACAATGTGCTGGAAACGCGCACGGAATTTATGTGCATGGTAAAGTTATGCAGGTGGTCACGGCTCATTGGTCCATTCGTTCCACAGCGCACAGTCACACACTGAGCCGACCAATCACAGGCCGGCATTTTACATCTAATGATCCAATGAAAATTCGGGTCATAGTTTCATGAGTTCACAGTTTTTGGAATTTGTAAAAACATATTTTGGTTTTGCCTGCGTGTCCAATGGGAACAGGTTAAGTTCTGTTAATATTTAACATCCTTGGTTTGTGTTTCTTCGTCCTGCAATTTTCTTTGCAAAAATTTACACGGTCTGTGCGAAATTATTTGGCAAAAGGACACAGAGGATAGGAGGAAGGCCAGCCACAACAATTTCTCGTCCGAGCCACATTCTCCTCATTTTCTCGTCCGAACCACCTCGGAATCCTTGTCCTTTGATTATTTTGTGTAAAAAAGTTTCCAATTCTTGAAGATAAAACTATTTTTTTTTAAATCTGGCCACGTTATATATAAATATGGATGGACTAAAGTATTGCAATGATTATACTATGTTGGAATCTTCAAGCCCTTGAGAATGATGTAAAACTTTATTTAGGTAAATTTTAAATCCCTTCTGCCTCCGTAATGGCTAACCTTCGTGATATAAAATAAATAGCGAAATATTCGGCATACCTCTGCCTATAGTTTTCCCCATGGAACCACCCGGAAAAATTCTATGGTTTTCACTATAGTTAACAAAAAAGATTGAAGTTCTATAAACTTGGAATTATTTGCGGCATTCTACACCAGGAATATCTGAAAATGCGCGTAAAAATGGTGAACGTTTTTAAAGACATTAAACTTAAAACCTTTAATTCAATAGAAACTCTTTTTCGATTTACAAAAATTTGATATTTCATTTATGCCCTAACGTGGCTTTATTCTTAAAAAATAGTTTTATCTGGAAGGATTAGACATAATATTAAAAGGACGAGGATTTCGAGGTGGCTCGGACGAGAAAATGAGGAGAATGTGGCTCGGACGAGAAATTGTTGTGGTTGGCCTTCCTCCCCTCCACAGAGAGTTTATTTTCATTTATATATTATTTTTCTAGATTTATTTCGTACCGAAGATAAAATGGTACAATATCATGATATAAACACAAAACAAAAATTGAATAGATGGTTATTAGTTGTTACATAAAATCATAGTTGAAATCTGAATATTCACAAAATCTTTAACTTTGAGTAATTCATGAAGAATTGGCAATTTTTATTCTTGATCTAAAGCAATCTGATTGTATGTCATATTTTTTATAACACAAAATTTGTTTAGATATTTAGATCAGTGCAAAGTACAATCTTTTGCGCACGATTGATTTTAGATTTTTACACAACACAGTTTTAAATCTGTCTGAAATCTATAAATTATTTGTATTTTAACAATAAAATATAACTGATAAACCAGTTTTTAGTTGTATTCAAATCAGAAATACCAATAAGAAGTTTGGTTTGGTGCAGTGTATATTTTCCTACTTCTTCAATTACAAATCCAGAACAAGGAGAAGGATCAAATATGACCGGAACTGCTGCTACAACTCCTCCAGGTTTGTTGTTTTTAATCTATGGGAGACAAATCACTGATATTTAAAAAAAAAAGCTGTCCTCGTTGTATTCCTGTTAAGCTATTTGGTAATTATATTGTTATATTTCTCGTATAAAATTATTTCAGGTAAAATAAGAAAGGAATTGAGTCTTTGTAACAAACTCTGGTTTTCGAATCACTTTATCTTTGCAACTTGATTGTGTAAACTTTTGATATTTTGATCAAACAGACTTCATTGCAAATATGTAGGGATTTTGTGGTTAAAACTCAATTCCTTAGCTTAATTCGGAATTATATTTTCTTATAAATCAAAAATTCCTTTGCAATATATTAACATTGTTATAGTTTATAAGTTGATTGTCGACGTAAGATCAAAATATTTTCTGATTCACAACCTTGTGGCTCTTTCTTTTTGAATTGAAATTGTTGAAAATATTGTTGCTTACATTGAAAGATTTTAATGGTACCATTGTGAATCTAACGTGTAACTGTATAATGGAGTGCTCCATGAAATCAATGCTTTGAATAAAAAGTCAAAGTTCTAAAAGAGAGAGCTGCCTAGACGGACTGGTGATTGCTGAATAGAGATTTATATTTTGTTTGTTTAATAATAATAATGAAAACTATAAAAAGACGTTTATTGATTGTTGAATTAGAGACCAAAATGCGATTGAAATCAAACAGAAGAAACTGCGCGTCGAACGCAACTCCCACGATCTCTCATCTAATAGCATTTAGGGTGATATGTAAAATTTCAATTCTAAATTTATAGGAAGCCATTTATCATATAATTAAAGAGGGCTTTGTGACCTCGTAGATTCTCTAATTTTCTTTTTACATCTATGAGCGAGGAAAGGATTGGTTTCATGTAGGGATTGGAAACCTTATTTATCTCATTAATAGATCTTGGCTCAAAAAGTGTTGAAATAGAAAACATGAAAGATCTCATTCTAAAATTGAATTAACTTTGATTTGATGTGATTCACATGTATAAACAATTTATGCACAATTATGCATTTTTAAGCGTTTTCATGATTCATCTAAGATCCAATATGGATGCATTTATGAATATGCATCTCCGTATCTCCAGGACCACCCAGAGGTTGAAGAGAGGGTTGAAAACCTTGATACACTAACCCTGAGCAAGGACTGGTCTACCTAACTCCTATAATTTGGATTGCACCGCTACAAACACCAATCTTACTTCTAGCACGATATTCAACATTTATCCAACCAGTACACATAGAACCAAAATCATTATAAAAGTTGAATCAATTTTCAAGAACGGGTCAACTCCTAGGTGTCACAACACCTTGGCCTTACACTGTTTTGTAGCCCTAGAGATTTACATTTCATACCTGTAAAGCAGGTGTTTACAACTTTAGTTTTAAAGGAGGAATCCTAACAGTTGTTTTGCAAGACCATTCACACAATGATTTCAGTAGAAGTAAATATAGCGCCGATTGAAGGATTCATATCTCTAATTGGATAATGAGATAGATAGAAAGGTAGATGTTACCGCCATACTATTTATATTGGTTCAGAATAGACAACAAACACATAACTGTACTCTGATTGGACTCGGCAAACAGGAGTGTGGAAGGTTTGGACCACTGAACTCATTCTACACAAGAGTTGGTTTATTTCAACATTTTCTTTTATTTTTAATATTATAAATAGAATTATTGATAGTTTTGGCACTTTTACATAAATATGGCACAAACAAACATATAAAGATGGTTCAAACTGGCATCAATAATCGGACATATGATATGACATGAATTCTAAACTTAAAGATGAAAAGTTTTTCATTTTTAAATTTAGATAATTTAATTGATATGTTAACTATACTGTATAATTAGAAGTTATTTCAAGGTTTAATCACTGATAAATCTGAATGAATTTTAGGGATTGCCTACACTGGTCACTTGAATGAGTTCCTTATTAAATTGTAGTTGAGTCCAAAGCGTACAATGTACAGATCTAGTGTAAGTTCATTTTCAGATCTTGTTTTCTTTAAAATGGTCAGTTAGCTGTACTTTGACAATTCTATGAGTAATTCACTTATGTATGAATTTCTAATGTTCTGTAACTACTGAGCTTGTACATAAAGTGTACGGGCGCAGTTTTGTTAACTGTACTGCATCTAGTGTACAGTTACTGTACTGCAACTAATGTACAGTTACTGTACACTAAATAGTGTACAGTTACTGTACTGTAACTAATGTACAGTTACTGTACTGTAACTAATGTACAGTTACTGTACTGCATCTAGTGTACAGTTACTGCACTGTAACTAGTGTACAGGTCTGCACATCATTGATCCTGAAGCAGCTGCTAGCTGTCCTAAATACTGTTGCTGCTGCTGCTGTTGTTTCTCCTGACTCTGATGATATTTATCTTCTGAACTCTGATATTTACTCTCAGGGTTGGAATGATATTTGGACTCTGGTTCTCCGGAGTTTAGATGGTTTGAATATTTGGTTTCCATCTGGGACTGTACTCCGGGATCTACCAAACCACCCAGATATTTAGGATCCGGGTTCATCATCAACTGACCCAGATATTTCGGATCGGTCTGGAAGGATCCGGCTGAGGCGGAGGATTGACCAGGAACCGGATATCCGGTTCCCTGCATACTTCCACCCAACAATCTGTAAAAGAATAATATTTATCAATAACTTAATTTTAACACATTCTTATCGTTTATTTTCATCAAAATTTATAAAAATTCTTAAATAAAGTTTGCCATTAAATATTCACAACAGATATGATACTTCGACGTTTTCATTATAAAATGATATAAATCACGTCAAGTTTCTAGCTCATTTTTGCTCCTAAAATACACAAGTTTTGTTTCAGAAAATTTATAATCGAAAATTATGAATATTCTGGAAATGAAACCTGTAATTCTTAAACGTCGATTCATAAATTCTAGTTGAAGAGGTATCGTTTTAATTCTATTAAATTTCTTTTAAATCGTTTAGGAGAAAATTTGAATATAGCTTTATAGACTTTTACACTTATTTAGACTATTTTATATGTTTTGAAGGACGTCTCAGTTTTCACAAGAGTATGAAGATGAAATATTTAAAATGTAAAATCATTGATCTTAAAAGAAATCGTTCTTGAATAAAATCTCTTCTCTCTTGACAATTCTGCTGTTCAAACCTTTCAGATGTACCTGGAGCTGACATATGATTAAACCAGATAAGAATTCAAAACAAAAAACTAATAAATGATGGAACTTACGAGTTGTATTCCTGGGATAGAACTGCAGCTCCAGCCCAGGGATTCGTCATGTTACCCATCCCACTCATTCCATCCTTACTCATCCCACTCATTCCATCCTTACTCTTCCCAACAGGCCATCCCTGGGATCCCTGATAGTAGTGACCCATACTGCTCTTATCCTAAAAAATCATTACATACAAAAATAGAAAACGAAAATTACGAAACTAATGAAAAAAATGAAGACAAAATTTACAAAAGTAAATTTAGAAAAATATAAAAAATATTCGAAGTTTACCTGACAATATCCATAGTTAAGGTAGGGGTTGGTTGGCCACTGATAACCATGACTGGAGAAGGTTGACTCAGCTCCGTAGTTGAGTCCAGGACTAGGAGAACTCAAACCTCCGGAAAAGGATGAGGATCCAGTTGAAGACAACGTTTTCCTCAGTCTAGCTCTTCTATTACTGAACCAGACTTGAACCCGAGCCTCAGACAATTTAGTTCTGAAATATAAACAAATTTAAAACTTTCAAATGTAAGGAATCCCTTGCACCTCTTTTAAAAACCAGAGAAAAAAGGTTAATAAACTAAATAGAGAAAAAGTAGCGGAAAGATCAAATCAAAAGTAATTCTTAAAAAATTACCGAATAAAGGAACTGAGTTCTTGCCACAAACTCATATTTTCTAATACCTATATCTGTGCAACCTTTGATATTTTATCTAACAGGATTAATTGTTTGAAATATCTAAGGTCTACAACATTGGTTTGCAAAGATATACGGAATAGAACATTAGAGTAGTTGGCAAGAACTCAGTTTCTTTAAAAACATGTTGTAAAATGTAATTATAACCTATTTTCTCTGGTTCCTTCCTCCCCTCCCATCTCCAATAAACTAAGCAAAAAGAACAATACAATGTGAAACTTTTTATAATTTTATTTTTAGAAAATATTCTTACTTTTGCGCCAGCTCCTCCCTCGTGTATACATCTGGATATTGAGTCTTCTGAAAGTACTGTTCCAGAACCTCCAGCTGATCACTGTTAAATGTCGTTCTTGCTCTCCGAACCTTTCTCTTCAGGGTTAATCCTGGCTCTGTATCCACGTCTGATTCATCGCTCCCAGATCCTCCTAAATATTCATAATTAGATATTTTAACATATTTTTTATAACATACACTACTTGATTTTGAAGAACCCAGCGTTGCCCATGCTACTCATAGTTACTACCGTCGTTTCCCCGCACTTGGTCGGAAATTACGATTTTAGCTATTTTTTTCTGTAAACAAAGCTAAGAACATTCCCGCGGTTTTCCCAAGTTCCCCAATCAAAATTTGGAGCAAATCGGTGATATTGTTACTGAGTTATGATCGGACATACATACAAACAAACATACAAACAGAGATTACCACTTTATATAACTTTGTATTATATAGATTATCTATTCAAACGTTTAAACAGGAGGAGACTATTCGTATCACTTATATACGACCTTTGTAAAATTATGACGACCAGGGTCCCAAACATAAAGGGATTAGAAAAGTATAGCTTTTAGTTCCTTTTGTACAGTCGTCTCTTTAAAATCTAAATTTCTTAAATTCGAAAGAAATAAAATTTACAATTTACCTCGTTTGTCAAATTATCTGAATCTTTCGTGGGATTTTATTAACGTAGGAAAAGGAAACCCAAAGTTTAAAAGAAGAAGAAGAAAGCATTTGTGTGGAATGCCTGGTTTCCTTGAGAATGAAGGACGGTTTAGAAAAGGTGGGATGGTGCTAGATACAGATCTGTCAGGTTTGTATTATAATGTCTCAAGGTACCCCTCACAATACGTGTCAGGACGGATCAAATTTTTCCAATTATTCCTTCAGAAAAGTATGCACGGGTTGTGAGACCACCATGAGCATTCTTGTGTGCACGCGAGCACAGTGTAAACTTTGACTAATTAGTGTAGCAAGGTTTAACCTGCTGCAGATGCCTTACACTCAGAGTAGATTTAAAACCTGTTACTTTAATCTACCCGGAGTTTAGTGTAAACCTGTAACAAAAACCTCTCAGAATTTTTATATAAACATGTTACGCACACTAGCCAGAGAAGAATAGGAACCTGTTACGTTACAGAAACCTACCCGGAGTAAAAAGTAAGAACCAGTTACATAAACCTAGCGGGAGTAAAAAAGCTACCAGTTATACCTTTTAGATAAACCTACACTGCTGAGTAAAAAAAGATCCTGTAACATAAACCTGCCCGGAGTTAAATAGATACCAGTTACATAAACCTACCCTGAGTAAAATATATGCAAGTTACATAAACCTAGCCGGAGTAAAATAGAAACTTGTTACATAAACCTACCCGGAGTATACATAGCAACCAGTTACATAAACCTACCCGGTGTAATATAGCTACCAGTTACATAAACCTACCCGGAGTATACATAGCAACCAGTTACATATACCTACCCGGTGTAATATAGCTACCAGTAACATAAACCTACCTGTATAAAAGTATAAATAGCAACCAGTTACATAAACCTACCCGGTGTTATATAGCTACCAGCAACATAAACCTACCCGGAGTATACATAGCAACCAGTTACATAAACCTACCCGGTGTAATATAGCTACCAGTAACATAAACCTACCTGTATAAAAGTATAAATAGCAGCCAGTTACATAAACCTACCCGGTGTAATATAGCAACCAGTTACATAAACCTACCCGGAGTATACATAGCAATCAGTTACATAAACCTACCCGGTGTAATATAGCAACATAAACCTACCCGGAGTATACATAGCAACTAGTTACATAAACCTACCCGGTGTAATATAGCAACCAGCAACATAAACCTACCCGGAGTATAAATAGCAACCAGTTACATAAACCTACCCGGTGTAATATAGCAACCAGCAACATGAACCTACCCGGTGTAATATAGCTACCAGTTACATAAACCTACCCGATGTAATATAGCTACCAGTAACATAAACCTACCTGTATATAAGTATAAATAGCAACCAGTTACATATACCTACCCGGTGTAATATAGCTACCAGTAACATAAACCTACCTGTATAAAAGTAAATAGCAACCAGTTACATATACCTACCCGGTGTAATATAGCTACCAGTTACATAAACCTACCCGGTGTAAAATAGCTACCAGTAACATAAACCTACCTGCATAAAAGTATAAATAGCAACCAGTTACATATACCTACCCGGTGTAATATAGCTACCAGTAACATAAACCTACCTGTATAACAGTATAACTAGCAACCACTTTCTTATTACCATACGTACTTGGATTAATATAAGGACCTGTTACATAACCAACTAGTATATTATTATACTATCCTTTGCCTACCTGGAGAAAATTTGAATCTGTTGCCTTGTATTTTTTGTAATTAGACAGAAACAGCTGTTACTTTACCAGACGTGTAATTAATTATCCTGGTAAGTTCATATATAAAGAAGATCAGAGAGAAAAGATATGTAAGGGATTAAACGAATTCATGTACTCGAAAGTATTATTGTGTACTTTTACAGTGAGAACCAGAAAACTGTGGAATAGAAGGCGGCCATTTAGCAATTGTTACGTTTATTTGATGTTGTATTTGATGTTGTTACAAAGTTTACTAGTAACTCATTAAATCATTTATCAAGTTGAATGGGTCTGTCAACACTGCAAAATTGCTTTACCTCATGTTCATTAGAATATTTAAAGTCAAAACGAATTCTAAAAGTCGTTTTTCTATTCCAAACTTTTCTGGGTCTCACTGTATTTCATAGATTTTTAGTTTTTATAATTATTTTATAAATTATTTGATTTAATTTTTGAATAATGCGAATCTCTCCTTTTCATATGAACTGAAGGATACCTATTTTTTCAATGAGGGGGTGTGCATAGGTTTAGCTATAAAGCCAGGTTCATGGTATGCATAGACCTAGGTCGGCTTCTTTCATGTAACATGTCAAAGCTAGTGTCTAGAAGAGGAATAAGAACCTTGATCATCTATAGTATCAATATCTTCTCTACTATCCGTTCTATTCAAACCAAACATTCTTTACACAGACATATCACCGGCATTCCTTGAATATCAAACATATAACTAACACCCTCTAACTGCCTCTAACCAATCCTACCCCCTCCCGCCGAACGATTTTTTCATAATCGTTTGCGCGGATTTACTCTAGATTGAAACCAAATTCTGATGCTAATTTTCACAAGATCATTGTTTTATTTTTTCCTCTTTATTTTTCTTATAATCAACAAGAGAAAATTGTCTCCTTTCTGTGTCAAACTTATCGAGCATTTGTACGATGCTGTGTTATTTTGTCGTCGAAGTCTTTTTAGATCTCTTCTCTATAGAAAATACGTTTTAAATTTGAATTTTTACTCAGACCAAGGCCGTGGCATAATTTTATTTTATTCAACCCTAAATTATATTCGTGATAAACTTGTTTTCATATTTTAACCCCCCTCCCCTCCCCCGACTCTTTAATTATTCTCTAATTTCCAACCAGATTTGAGGTTGGGGTCTCGGGAAAGCATTAGTACAACTAGAGCTAGGAATTCAGGGTTGCAATAGAGAAATATTTGTTCATTGAGACTGATTAGTTCCGTGTTAGGGTTTCAAAATTTCAAAAAAACTTTTCTTATTCGAAATAATGTAATTTTGAATTTAGTTTTTGATAATTTGTAAATAAAATAAAAAATAAAAATTAATATTCTTAAAAACTGATTTTTCTAAAAAAATCTCTTTCTAACCCTAGTATCGGCGCCCACACAGGGAGAATATTAGTAAGATGATTGTGTTAAAATTACAATGGATTTTTGAGGGGTGGAAGGGGAGGATGGAGAGAGGGGTGGAAGGGGAGGATGAAGAGAGGGGTGGAGGGTGTCTAGGAGGGGGATATGGACCAACTATTAACATCAACTAATAACTACAACCAGACTAACAAACAAGATGTTTCCTACACTGCACTCTCATCAGGGGAGCAAGAAGAGAGAAGCAAGGCAAATTCATCCTTTAAAGTGAGGGAGAGATGGCAGTTTTTAAGAAGAAAGTGCACATATCTCATTGCACAAAAATTGCATATATTGAATAGATAAACATATTGAATACAAAATCTAACGTTTTGCTGTCAAAAAATGCTTTTTTATTGTTCAATACTGTACATATTGCTCTAGCTGATTAAAAGTCGGTCCTGTACTTAAAATAAACCTGAGTTTAAATTGCAATGTGCGTGAAATAAATCGTGTTCTCAATGCACGTTGAAAAAGTCATGTTCTTAATTTACGTGTAGGAAATCGTATTCTCAATGTACGTGAAGGAAATCGTGCTCTAAAAGTAAGTTAGACAAATCGTATTCTGAAAATAAGCTTAAGAAATCGTGGTCTGAAAGTAAGTTTAAAAAATCGCGTTCTGAAAGTAAATTTGAGAAATCGTGGTCAGAAAGTAAGTTTAAGAAATCGTGTTCTGAAAGAAAGTTTAAGAAATCGTGGTCTGAAAGTAAATTTGAGAAATCGTGTTCTAAAAGTAAATTTAAGAAGTCGTGTTCTAAAAGTAAATTTAAGAAGTCGTGTTCTGAAAGTAAGTTTAAGAAATCGTGTTCTGAAAGTAAATTTAAGAAGTCGTGTTCTGAAAGTAAGTTTAAGAAATCGTGTTCTGAAAGTAAATTTAAGAAATCGTGTTCTGAAAGTAAATTTAAGAAATCGTGTTCTGAAAGTAAGTTTAAGAAATCGTGTTCTGAAAGTAAATTTAAGAAATCGTGTTCTGAAAGTAAGTTTAAGAAATCGTGTTCTGAAAGTAAATTTAAGAAGTCGTGTTCTGAAAGTAAGTGTAAGAAATAGTGTTCTAAAAGTAAGCTTGAGAAATAGTGTTATCAAAGTAAGTTTGAGAAATCGTGTTCTGAAAGTAAGCTTAAGAAATCGTGTTCAAAAAGTAAGTTTAAAAATCGTGTTTTAAAAATAAGTTTAACAAAACATGTTCTCAGTGTACGTGAAAGAAATAGTGTTCTCAATGTACGTGAAAGAAGTGTGTTCTTTCTGAAAGTAAGTGTAAGAAATCGTATTCTCAATGTACGTGAAAGAAATCGTGTTCTATAAGTAATTTTAAGAAAATCGTGTTCTAAAGTAAGTTTAAGAAATTGTGTTCTGAAAGTAAGTTTAAGAAATTGTGTTCTGAAAGTTAGTTTAAGAAATCTGAAAGTCAATCTTGAATTTGAGAAGAGAGATCCGAAGATGTAAGATTATGTTTACTTTACCCCCTGGATCTACAAATATATATTTTCAACTAATGAAAATGAAGATTGAATGGTGCCGTGTGATCATTAATCTATCTGATCCTAATAACTGATAATTTAATACTAATCGATCCCCTGATATATGATTAGGATCGTATTAAGAAATCAGTCTTCAGTCCACTTCAAGTCCAGGTTTTAGGTCAAATATCATTATCTAAACTATAGAGATTGCATGTCAAATTCCTAAACTATACAGATTGCATGTCAAATTCCTGAACTATAGAGATTACATGTCAAATTTTTAAACTATAGAGATTGCATATCAAATTCCTAAACTATAGAGATTTCATGTCAAATTCCTAAACAATATAGATTGCATGTCAAATTCCTAAACTATAGAGATTGCATGTCAAAATTCTAAACTATAGAGATTTCATGTCAAATTCCTAAACTATAGAGATTACATGTCAAATTTCTAAACTTTAGAGATTGCATGTCAAATTTACTACGGTACCTTTTGAACTTTTGTCTGATCAAGGATGAACAAAATATCCTTAATTTTCTAGCTAAGAACTAATCATTTAAAGTGTGGTTTCTCCATGAAAGTAAGTTGTAAGCTTCATGGAGAAATAAATAAATTATTAATATTTAACACTTGTTCTAGAAAGAAAAGCGACAGTGTTTTAATTTAATTGAGGTTTAAGAGGTACTGTTGTGAATTGAACATGCCACTCTATAGTCCCTTTAAATAAAGAGAATAAAAAACCATCTTAAGATTATAAAATGTTTGATAAGAGTTATGGAGTGGGTTTGGTTGGGATAAATGAAGATAAGGATCAGTAGATTACATGGTTTAGTGTCGGTATACCACTACACACACCACAATACAGTATAATTAGCCTAGACCCGGCCCTGTATTAACCCCTTAATTGAATAAAGGTTTGAGTTAAATGATCTAAATATTCTGAATTTATCGTGTATATCTGACCCCGCCATATACACATTAATAAAGCCCCGTGAACTATGCCCTCAAGCAACTATCTGGTTAATAAACTCAAAACAAAGAACTAGTGTTCCTAAATCAGAAACATTTATAAACTCAAAACAAAGAGCTAGTTTTCCTAAACCAGAAACATTCATAAACTCAAAACAAAGAGCTAGTGTTCCTAAATCAGAAACATTTATTAACTCAAAACAAAGAGCTTGTGTTCCTAAATCAGAAACATTTATAAACTCAAAACGAAGAGCTCATGTTCCTAAATTAGGAACAATTATAAACTCAAAACAAAGAACTATTTTTCCTAAATCAGAAACATTTATAAACTCAAAACAGAGAGCTAGTGTTCCTAAATCAGTAACAATTAGGAACTCAAAACAAAGACCTAGTTTTCCTAAATCGGGAACAATAATAAACTCAAAACAAAGACCTAGTGTTCCTAAAGTAGGGAAAATTATAAACTCAAAACAAAGAGCTAGTGTTCCTAAAGTAGGGAAAATTATAAACTCAAAACAAAGAACTATTTTTCCTAAATCAGGGACAATTAAGAACTAAGAACAAAGAGCTAGTGTTTCTATATCAGAAACAATTATAAACTCAAAACAAAGATCTAATTTTCCTAAATAAGGAACAGTTATAGGTTCTCAAACCAAAGATCTAGTATTCCTAAATCAGGAACAATTATAAACTTAAAACAAAGAAGTAATGTTCGAAAAATCAAACAATTATAGGTTCTCAAACCAAAGATCTAGTGTTACTAAATCAGGGACAATTAGGAACTCAAAACAAAAAGCAGGTGTTTCTAAATCAGGGACAATTATACACTTAAAAATTAATTTTAGAAAATGTATACCCCTGAGTTAACCTATAATAATCTCACCTAGTATTCCATCAATAGAATGAGAAGGTCTACCGTCCATATCTCCATCTAGTGTGTGTCCTCCACCCCGTAGTACTCGAGATATACTGGATACACTAGGAGCACTGTCCTTGTTGCACAATCCATCCTTAACAATGTTTTCTGATTATCTCTAGACGATTAGAAAATAATTTTTAAATCGTAGAAAAATATAATAACGGAAGAGAAAGAGAAAACCAATAAAAGTTAAAATTTAAAAAGCAATCTAAAATATGTAAATAAGAATGTTCTTTATACATGAATTTTTTGTTTTAGGTTGCTTTTTCTTCAGGTTCTATTGTTGCATGATTCAGGATGGATTGGATTTCTCTCTCACTCACCTTTATTAATCTCTCTCTAATTTCCCAGCTAAATATTCCCGGATTTTCACTTTTGTAATCTTCAATCTTGTTCTCTACCTCGGGGGTTGCCACACGAGGTTTACTCCCTCCGATGACTCCGGGACGGATACTCCCCGTCTCCTGGTACCTGAAACAGTGCAGAATACAGGATCACCCATTTCAGTATATTGAACAGTAATTATTAGCAAGATTACATTACAAGACAGAACTTTTTATGCACAGTGTGCATTCTTTAGAGTAGGTACAAAATAAAATGTAATCTTGGACGGACATGATGTATCAAACCTAGATGGGTTAAAAACAATGTAATCATGAACGGGCATGATGTATCAAACCTAGATGGGTTAAAAATGTAATCTTGAACGGATATGATGTATCAAACCTAGATGGGTGAAAAAATGTAATCTTGAACAGATATGATCTATCAAACCTAGATGGGTTAAAAAAACGTAATCTTGAACGGATATGATGTATCAAACCTAGATGGGTTAAAAAATGTAATCTTGAACGGATATGATGTATCAAACCTTGATGAAACAAACACGAATTCCTTCGAACAAAGGAATAGAGAGAAACGTACTATTGGGTGAAACGTGAATTGGGTGAAACGTTATTGGGTGAAACGTTATTTCACCTAAAATTGGGCGAAACGTTTTGGGTGAAATGTGATTGGGTGAACTGTTACCACACCAAGTAAAAGCTTTTAAAAAATCTGATTAAAATAATGGAACTCCATTTAGTTGATCTGAATTAACTTATAACTCCCTTTAGTTGATCAGAATTAACTTATAGCTCCATTTAGTTGAGCAGAATTAACTTATAGTTCCATTTAGTTGAGCAGAATTAACTTATAGCTCCATTTAGTTGAGCAGAATTAACTTATAGATCCATTTAGTTGAGCAGAATTAACTTATAGTTCCATTTTGTTGAGCAGAATTAACTTATAGCTCCATTTAGTTAGGCAGAATTAACTTACAGCTCCATTTAGTTAGGCAGAATTAACTTATAGCTTCATTTAGTTGAGCAAAATTAACTTATAGTTCCATTTAGTTGAGCAGAACTAACTTATAGTTCCATTTAGTTGAGCAGAATTAACTTATAGCTTCATTTAGTTGAGCAAAATTAACTTATAGTTCCATTTAGTTGAGCAGAACTAACTTATAGCTCCATTTAGTTGAGCAGAAATAACTTACTTATAGCTCCATTTAGTTGATCAGAATTAACTTATAGCTCCATTTAGTTAAGCAGAATTAACTTACAGCTCCGTAGCACACGTATATAAAGAAAAAATAAAACTCCCACAACTATTTAGATTAATAAAAACTTCAAAATAAAAAATAGAAATAGTTCATAAAGGGTTTTTAAGCGTGACATTCCAATTAAAGATAGCAATGCCCGATTCACAACGGTACCAATGATACCTCTATTGTGGAAGATATTGTCGTTTCTTAATTTTAAAAGTTTTTAATTCAGATAATTCCAGTATTTTTTCCTGCAGTATAATTGTAGAAAAAGTACAATTAAAAATGAGTAGTTTAAAATTATAAACATTGCTATCATAATTCATACTTGATCAGGGCAAAGCTTTTAAGGGTACCGTTGTGAACAAAAAAAATCTGATTGAATACATGAAAATTCTCTTTTCCATTACCTATTCAATATTTTAGAAACACAACCATGGCTGACTCTGAGCTGTCTACTAATAACACAAGGTCTTACTCCAGCAGCAGCCATCTCTATAATCTTCAATCTTATATGATTAGGTAGAGGTCGACCATTGATAAATACACCTCCGAGCTGGTTAACCCGGCCCTGGCCCTGGAAAGGGTATCCTGAGAAAAGGGGGGTCATGGCTGCCAGATGGGGGCTAGAGGGGTTCACCCCCTCTACTTTAAAGGAAGAAGTAAACGTGTTGAACAACTGGTTTTCACTCCATCTCCTGAGAAAGGGTTGAGAACTTGGGACGGATGTACGGAGTAATGTTTACACCTTTTTACTGTAACTTGGTTGTAATCAATCAGAGATGTTAACTGTGTAATACCCTACTCCTGTCCACCCAAAAGAGCAAAACTCACTGCCCAGACACGGCCTTCTTACCCAAACAAAGCTGAGAGAAACGCCTGGCTCTCCTATTGGTCGCCTGATCTCAGCTTTACTCTGATTGGTTGATGGGGGGCGGCGAGTACCATATGTGAAGTGCTGTATGGATTTTGGGCGTACAAAAATCGATAAAATGTACCTTAGTTTTCCAGAGGGGGAATTTAAGAGATAATCGATGAATGAAACCCCGTTTTCTTTTTAGAGTCCAAATATATTTGAAGGTGTGAGTCTAAAAAAATGATTATAGAATTTTAAATATATTATACTAAATAATATTTTTACTCTGCTGATATTTAGAAAATGTTCTTTAACATTTCATGTAACTCGGTTTCTAATACCAGATTCTACTACAGAATCGAAGTCCCACGAAATATAGGCATTTCCAAAGGTAATGTTACATCGTCTATACGCAACATCCCCCCTACTAAACTTCTGACCTACTAACTTTACGACCTACTGCAATATCGGACATACGCCAGCTGTTTATTTTTGTATTATTTGATGTTTAGGTCAGGTTAACACAATTTCTGGGTCGAGCGCTGCGGCTAGGACATATGCTAGGGGACCGAGCGCAGCGGCTAGGACAGGCTAGGGGGCCGGGCGCTGCGGCCACAAGTCCATATAGCAGCTGTAAAACCACGTGCTAGTAGGTCGGATGTGTAGTATAGCGAATTTAGCGTAGGTCAGAAGTGGAGTATAGCGGATTTGCGTAGGTCGAAAAATACACCTCCATTTCCAAAATGTGGCTTGAATTTTGAGTGATTTCAAAATTACAGAAGATATAAGAATGTTGTTCAAAATTTAAGAGTGTAGGTTCAGGGTCGTACGAATTTGTGTAGGGTGGGGTGGGGCACTTTTTAAAAATATTGATACCTTTTTATATCTATGTATATTCGATCATATACACACTTCCATAAAACAAGTGTTAATAAAATTATTTATCAAATTTTCTTAACCCTATTCCCGCTGGGGGGGGGTCAATTTGACCCCCCCCCTGTAGTTTTTTCTACATAACTCAAAAAGCATTGGTCTGAGGCTGTTGAAATTTTCTGACTTTTCTTACATTCCCAAAGCCCTCCCTTTAGGCCTAAAACCGGGCTTTAATACTAACTGCCTGAGTCCTCAGGCACACTGCCTGAATGACTGCTTTTGCCTGTAGCAAACTAAATCTTTGTTTTGACCCACTTTCACTTGTCAGATTTTGATAAAATTTAGCTTTTTGGAAAGCCTATGACATAAGGAAACGGATTGCACAAATTTTGCGAAAAAAAAATTGCAAATTTTTTGCAAAAAACCTGTCAAAGGAAATTTGCACATTTTTAGTTTTTCTTGATTAAAAATCAGGTTATTTAAAATTTTGCAAAAATTTCTGCATATTTGAAATGGCATGGTCAAGGGCTTTTCAAAAATGTATAATTTGTCATTTTTTGGACAAATTTTTTTTTGCAAACATTTTTACTATAAATCTGGATTTTGCGATAAAAAATTCAATTTTCGCAAATTTGCAAATTTTTTTGCAGATTCTAAAAGTAGAGCACAAGAGCTTTCTAATGATGTATCATTTGTCATATTTGGACATAAAACATGGGATTTAGAGGGGGGGGTCAAATTGCCCCCCCCCCCAGCGTATCCTGGTTTTCAAGTACCCCGGAGCCCAAAACTTAAGACAGAGTATCGTAATGAAAACCAGTTTTAAAACCCGGGTTTCGCGAATGGGGTTAGGTAGTTTTGTGAATATCAATATTCTTGTAATGAAATATTATTTTTTCAAGTTGTTTATATTCTCCATTTTTTTCGAATCTCTTAAATCAAAATCTACACAAATGCTAAGACCCCAGAAAAGAAACTCGGTAGTTTCGTTCAACGACACTCTTTTAAATTTCGGGCTCACCGGGGATAGGGTTAATTGGACTCATCAGACACTTCCTCTTAATAATGACTGGGTGAAAAAAGATGGAAACGTTTCTTAAAAAGTATCTATATTTTCATAGGATCGATATATATTGTATAATTATAAATAATGATATCAAATATATGTTTACATTAAAAGCGGGGGAAGGCAGGCGGCCATGAGCCACCACTATTTCCCCTTCCGTGCCACATATGAGCTTTTTTCTCTTCCGGCAGACATGAGCCACCACTATTTCCCCTTCCGTACCACCACATTTGACTTTTCCGGGTAAAACTACTTTTTAAAATGTTATTTTTAAGGCCTTTAAAGTGTGATTTAAAAAAAATCACAACTCAAACCATTTTTTAAATTCTACTTAAGATTGATATTTTGTGTGTTGAATTCTTAAACTGTTTTGCAATGAAATTTTTGACGAATTGAATGAGTATTGCATCTTGAAATATCACAAAATTGGTTTTTGAGTGATTTTAAAATGGCTTAAGTATAATGATTAAGGAATTGAATAATCATTACACTTTGTATTGATTTAAAAAAAAATTTAGTTAAGGGCAAACGTGATTTAAAGAATTTTTTATATGTGTCTAATTTGATAGTTTAAAATCTGAACGAAATTCCTAATTAAAAAACGTCGGTAATATCAAATGTACTAAAAAGGCAGACAACATTTTATAAATACCATGATAAGGGGAATTCTGTGACTATATTGTTTCAAAAACCTAAGAGCTAATCTCCGTTATGAAGAAAAAGTCCAATTTATTTAAAGAAAGTAAGAAGATTACAGTTGCAGAATGCGTGTTAGTATAATGAAAGAAATAAATCCGTTTAGTTTTCTCTCAAGATTCATCTTTTGTACAGGGTTACCCACAAAGGATGAGACTTCAGAGACGACTGTTCGGAAGATAAATAATCTTTTCCTTAAATTCATTATTTCCTGCAACTGTGAACTTGTTTCTTAAATAAGCGATAAAAAAATTATTTAAGGTAAAAGACTTGTTTATTCCTAGAATTATCATATTTAAAGAGTTTCAGGTCTTTTCCGTCTCAACCTTTGTTGGTATCTGCTGCTCTATATATATATCTAGTGCGCAAGAAACCGTTCAACAATTTATACTTGAAAAAAAACATTTAAGGTAAGTTTCAAATCATCATTACATTATTTTTAATTATAAAGATCTTGCATGTTTAGCTGGATTTTTGTAAATCGCAATTTATATACGCCAAATTTACCATTTAACAATGAAATAATTGCCAAAAAACGAAAATGTTGCAGCATGGAAGACCGAATGGTTGTGGCTAATGACTGCCGGAAGACAACAAAGTTGGTGTGGCACGGAAGAGAAAACGGTTGCGGCTTATGGCCGCCTGCCTTACCCTGTTCCACAAATTAAAACCCCATCAGTAGGCTATTGTCTTATCAGAAAATCAATGTATGGATAGATGCAAAAATTCATAACCTTTAAATAAAAAAGTAAATAACCGATACAAGTGTAAAATTTATTGAAATCATAAAACCACAAATTAATAACCATAATTATTATATCCATGCGATGCTTTATCTTGAAGTATGTTTCCAATATTCCAGGCGTCATAGTTCAAATTTTTATTATAAAACACGCCGCCGGTCCAGGGGTAATTGCTGTAATGGCGCTTGCCATAGCCACCATGGCCGGAATAGCCACCGTAACCGGAATAGCCACCGTAACCGGAATAGCCACCATGATCTCCGTAGCCCCCGTAGCTAATTGACCTCTTACTTTTGTGTTTACTATCTGAAGGCTTAGAACCACTAGAAGGTTTAGGAGAAGGTATATACGCACTAGGAATAGGATCATGTTGCCCAGTATAGATAGCGCCGTTTGGTATATAATAATTGTACTTTTGATGCGCAGTGTAACTGTAATCTTCAGGACCGGCATGATATTCACGATCTTGCTCTTCTCCATAACCTGCTGCAGAAGAATATCCTTCTCCGTGCTCTGTTGGAGTAGCATAGCCTGCTCTGTGGTTGCTGTAGCCTTCACCGTGGGGTGGAGGACCATAGGCCAGCTTCCTTGGATATTCATATCCAACATACCTCGGGACATACCTAGATCTGGATCCATAAACTGAACCATACTTGGGGCCAAAACCAGCAGGAGAGCCATAACTAGGAGAGCCATAACCAGCATGAGAGCCATATCCGTTCTTGGAACCATACCCAGCATAAGACCCATATCCAGGCTGTGCTCCGTACCAAGATGATGGTGTTGAGTATCCATATCCTAAACTTCTCTTCTTTCTGTAAGATTTGCCGTTCTTGTTTCCATACAGAGCATAACCATACTGCTTCCATAAACCATTCCCCTTGGATCGAAGAGAATCGTAAGCTCCGTAGAAACCATTGTTTTTCAGGTATCCCATGAATTCTAAAAAACCAAACGTGAGAAAGTAATTTAAAACATCAATAAGTCGAATCTCTTACCGCTATTGTGAGCGTCATAGTAATCAACTCTTGGTCTCTTTACTCCGAGGTCTTGTCCAAACAGAGCCTGACCGGCCACAAAGTTCTCATATCTATTCCAGTAGTCGGAGTCGCCATTGTAGCCCTGTATAGTTATTAAGTAAAAACTACAAAAAAAACGGGATATTACAAATTACCCAATGCATCTGAACACCTAAAGCTATAGATCGTCCATTGCACCAAAACCAACGCATTGAATAAAGTTTTCATTAAGTACTTACATGTCCGTAGTATGAAGGTTGTGATGTATAACCAGAAGAATATTGGTTCCCGTAATCTACACTTCGCTTACGCCTGGTCTCTGAAACCAATGAAAAATTTAAATGATCAGGTCAGCAGGGCGCGAAGCGTCTATATTGTTTTGAAAAATGTCCAATATTCTAGCATTTTCTCTTCTATAGAAACAAAATTTTGCGGATTTTTAGAACTATCAGATAAGAATTAAGCATGAGACATCTAGCGGCCAACATATCGTCCCTTAAAGTACGTGAACTACACGACCACTTTCTATGGAGAGAACAGGCTCTGGGGTCATGTGAGGTCCCACACAAAAATTTGGAATGACTGAAATCTTGAATACAAACGGACAAACAAAGTATAGAATATATATGTTGAAATAGATTGATCCACGTATGAATGTAAAATATAACAGCAATTTGAATGTCGAATGTTAAAAGAAACGAGATAAATCCCATTTAAAGGCGAGATATTTTACTCGCAGGTTGATCTAAAATATAAACCCTGTCTTTACCTATGTTAAATAAAGCTTAGAAGTCTCTAAATGAAGTAAGATTTTTAAAACAATTAAGGTTGAAAATCAAACAAAAAAATTTAAATCATTATATTTAGAACTGCACATAAATGAAATTGAAGAATGTGAAAAAACGCAAACTACCCCCCCCCCCTGAAACACAACAGTCAACTAGTTTTAAAGTATCCTTCCTTGCAAAAATTGAAGGCATAAGATTCACAACAGTACCCTTCATACTGATTAGGGTATATATTTCCATTTTCCCACTTAAAAATCTAATATGTTTTCCTGCAGTAGCACATTAACAAAAAGACCGCATTTAAAATTTTACAAAATGGAAGAAGTTACAAATAAATTAAACAATTCACACTTAATCAGACAAAGATTTTATAGGTATCGTTGTGAATTGGACATTGCTATCTTTTATTGGAGGGTTACTGGGGCTAATTAATTAAATATCTGTTTTAGGTAAAAAGCAAAACCTACCATGAGTAGCAGCAGAATACACTAAAGCAGGAATACTTAGGAGTAAACACAATCTTAAACCTCTCATCCTCAACCTTTCCATGCTTGCAACTAACTACCCAAACATCAGCTGGCTGTGTTTATTTATACTTGTTTTTAAATGTAGAACCTGATTTCAGGATCTGCAGTACGATTTAAATACAAACAATAACAAATAACAAAGACTGGAAAAACTAGACATAATTTTCGATTAAAATATTTTATAATTTTAGGTTGAATATATTTTTAAACAACAAAACTTCCAATGGGGCCGGGGATGGGTGTGTTGAACAATTAGGTAAAATAAAAGCAAGGACTGCTTGTTTTTAAGAACTTGAAATTTTTAAACTTTGTTGTTAGTAAATTCAAAACCATTATACTTCTAAGTTGCAACATAGAAAAAATATTTGAAACGTCAGTTTTTGTTTTGTTTAAATCTGCAGTCCTTGTTTTCTTAACTCTTTGCTGTACACTACACGAAGTGTACAGTACATTCGGTACATACTTTTAACTCCAAGAGGGGTGAAAAAGCGGGAAATAGTAATCGTATATATTCTAAGGGAGGCAATTAAAATTGATTCTGAGCTGTGAACTAAATAAACCCTGAGCTATTTATCAAGTGGGCCCCTGAGTTGTAAAGCAACTAGAACCCTGAGCTGTATACCAAGTGGAACTCTGAGTCGTAAAGCAAGTAGAACCTTGAACTGTATACCATATGAAACTCTGAGTTGTAAAGCAATTAGAACCCTGAGCTGTATACCAAGTGGAATTCTGAGTTGTAAAGCAAGCAGAACCTTGAGCTGTATACCAAGTGGAACTCTGAGTGGTAAAGCAAGTAGAACCTTGAGCTGTATACCAAGTGGAACTCTGAGTCGTAAAGCAATAGAACCTTGAGCTGTATACCAAGTGGAACTCTGAGTTGTAAAGCAAGTAGAACCCTGAGCTGTATACCAAGTAAAACCCTGAGTTGTATACCAGGTAGAACCCTGAGTTGTATACCCAAGGAGAACCCTGAGCTGTATACCAAGTAGAACATTGAGCTGTATACTACAGGGTGTCCCAATAAACATGGGAATTCAGTGACGAATTCGATATCGTCTTTTTAAATAATTCTTTGATTTAGTATAGTGATACCTACTGAGAAAGTTGTAATCTTATAAGAGTTTCGTCTGCTATGTTCACATTTTGTTTGTTTATGTTTTGACTGCATACGTTGTACTTCGTAAAACAAGAAAATTGCAGTATACAAACAGTGTAAACTTGTCCGTCTTCACTGTTCATCTTGCATAGACATTATAGACACATCTTTACAGTCTTTTACACTTTTCATAAAATAAACTCTAGCAGACATAATGATATTATGGCTTTAGAAATTAGGTATTACAAAGCTAATTCATAACAAAGACGATATCCAATTCGTCACTGAATTCCCATGTTTTTTGGGACACCCTGTAAGTAGAACATTGAGCTGTATACTAAGTAGAACCCTGGGTGGTATAACAAGTAGAACCCTGAGCTTATACCAAATAAACCTTGAGGTGTTTACCAAATAGAACCTTGAGATGTATACCAAGTAGAACCTTTAGCTGTATACCAAGTAGAACCTGAGCTGTATACCAAGTAGAAACTGAGCTGTATACCAAGAAGAACCTTGAGCCAAAAACCAAGTAGAACATTGAGCTGAATACCAAGTAGAACCTAAACCTTAATATCAAGTAGAACCCTGAGCTGTATACCATGTAGAACCCTGAGTTGTATACCAAGTAGAACCAAGAACTAAATTCCAAGAAAACCTAGAGTTGTATACCAAGTGGAACCCTGATCTGTATACCATGTAGAACCTTGACCTGTATACCGTTAAACCGTGAGCTGTATATCAAGTCGAATCTTGAGCTGTATACCAAGAAGAACCTTGAGTTGTATACCAAGTAGAACCTTGATCTGTATACCAAGTAGATCCTTACGCTGAAAACCAAGTAGAACCTGGAGCTGTATATCAAGTAGAATCTTGAGCTGTATACCAAGTAGAACCTTGAGTTGTATACCAAGTAGAACCTTTATCTGTATACCAAGTAGAACCTTGAGCTGAAAACCAAGTAAAACCTGGAGCTGTACACCAAGCAGAACCTTGAGTTGTATACCAAGTAGAACCTTTATCTGTATACCAAGTAGAACCTGGAGCTGTATACCAAGTAGAACCTTGAGTTGTATATCAAATGGAACTCTAAGTTTTATACCAAATGAAACTCTCGCAGTACCTCGCGTGACTCCAAGGATGGTTTTACTCCGAACCTGATTCTAATACCTAGAATTATCCGGCAATATCTACACAACCAACCATAAAATGTTTCTCGAGCAGGCAGAATAGCTCTCACTTTTCCTAAGATCCAACCAAAACGACCCATCCAAGTTACAAGAAACCAGCAGGCGAACCAATCCCCACTACCTCTCAAATAGGAATAACAAACATATCTTTATAATCTTTTGTTGAAACTCCCATTTTCAGACCCGATTGGAGTCAAAATATCAAAATGGAAAAGAAAAATATGATTCTTAAAAAGCATGTGAGATGATATTTAAATGATATAACGTGTTTATCGATATGAGAATATAGAATGAGAATACATATCAAATACGTATTGAGATACGGTTGAGGACGGGTTGAGAAAGAAACGCTTCAAGATAGAGTAGTAAGGTTATTGTATGGGGTAGGACGGGTTGAGTAAGAACAGGCTAACGATGAATCAGTAAGGTTCTAGTATGGGGTAAGAGGGGGTTGAGTAAGAACAGGTTTAGGATGAATCAGTAAGGTTCTAGTATGGGGTAAGAGGGGGTTGAGTAAGAACAGGTTTAGGATGAATTAGTTAGGTTCTAGTAGTATGTGAACGGGCTGGTTGAGAAAGATCAGGCTTAGGAGGAATCAGTAAGGTTCTAGTATGTGAAGGGGCTGGTTGAGAAAGAACAGGCTTAGGATGAATCAGTTAAGTTCTAGTATATGAAGGGGCTGGTGGAGAAAGAACAGGCTTAGGGTGAATCAGTTAGGTTCTAATATGTGAAGGGGCTGGTTGAGAAAGAACAAGCTTAGGATGAATCAGTTAGGTTCTAGTATGTGAAGGGGCTGGTTGAGAAAGAACAGGCTTAGGATGAATCAGTAAGGTTCTAGTATGTGAAGGGGCTGGTTGAGAAAGAACAGGCTTAGGGTGAATTAGTTAGGTTCTAGTATGTGAAGGGGCTGGTTGAGAAAGAACAGGTTTAGGATGAATCAGTATGGTTCTAGTATGTGAAGGGACTGGTTGAGAAAGAACAGGTTCAGGTTAGATGAGTAAGGTTCTAGTATGTGAAGGGGCTGGTTGAGAAAGAACAGGTTTAGGATGAATCAGTAAGGTTCTAGTATGTGAAGGTACTGGTTTAGGATGAATCAGTAAAGTTCTAGTATTTGAAGGGGCTGGTTGAGAAAGAACAGGTTTAGGATGAATCAGTAAGGTTCTAGTATGTGAAGGGGCTGGTTGAGAAAGAACAGGTTTAGGATGAATCTGTAAGGTTATAGTATGTGAAGGGGCTGGTTGAGTAAGAACAGGTTCAGGTTAGATCAGCAAGGTTCTAGTATGTTAAGGGACTGGTTGAGAAAGAACAGGTTTGAAGAGTAGAAGAGTAAACTCTGGAACTAAGAAGCATGAACTGGGAACTAATCCGAGCAGGAAAATGATTGGTTTTGCCATTTAGGATTTTATTCATTACTCAGGGTTGGAGTTAACTGACCTTGAACTAGAACTTGGTTTTTATTATTAGACTCAGGAACTAATTGGATTAGCTGAGTGAGGAGGGGGGGGGGGGGGTTCTAGGGAAAGGGGATTTGACCGGAAGTAGGGAAAGGATGGAAGGTTCAAGAAAAAAGCTGGATAAAAAAGAAAACACTTTTAGGAAGCCTTTCAAAATTTATAGATTTATGAAATGTGTGTATATATTTTCTGGGTTTTTAAATGAAAAAGGATTATGAAGATTAGTACCATTAATATAGGAACAGAAGTAATACAGAATTGGAGAATTGTAGAAAAAACATAAAACAGACACTGTTATAAAGATAGATAAACTGCTAATTCAGCTTTTTTACAGTATATTACTCTGTACTTTGCACTGATTTTATTTACAGTTTACTTACTTTGATGTTATATTTTTAATAATTTCCTTCTCTTTAATTACATAGTTCACAGTTTAATTACTTACTTTGTCTTATCTTATTTACAGTGTCTTACGATCTGCACTTAACTTGTTAAACCTTAACCCTATCTCTGCTGGGGTACTTGAAAACCAGGATACGCTGGGGGGGGGTCAATTTGACCCCCCCCCCCCAGCGGGAATAGGGTTAATCTTAGCTTTATTATCAGATTACTTATTTCACACTTATTTTATTTACAGTTTTATATTTCGAATTATTTTGTTACCTGTTCACTTACTCGATCTATTCTTATTTTGTTTACAGTATTCTTGCTTTGTACTTTTTTATAACAAGTTTCTTTCTGTGTACTTATTTTGCTTAAAATTAAATAACTTCACTTACTCTGTAATTTACGTTTTTAAGATAGGGTAAAAACATATCATCAAAAAAGTCGAATATACCTCAATTTGTGCATTTTTCGATATTTAAACCCTTGTCTGGTTTAAGGAAAAAATAGCTTTTTTCACATAAGGATATTTTTATATCCATCTTGATTTATTTTGTCGATTTTTTCTCCCTGACGTTAAGGTCTAATATACAGAAAAATAAAATCTGAACGAGTTAGGAAATTATAAAAAAATAGTATAGGTTAGACGTTACAGTTTGCTTACTTTGTATTTATTTTGTTTACAAGTTACTTGCTTTGTATTTCAAGTGTAAATTGCCTAGCTTAGAAGGAGATATTATAACAAATGATAAAATAGTTGGATTTTATTGTATTTCCTAGAGGCGACCACCCAGACTCTTATAACTTGCTCTCTTCCCTCTCTCATCCCCAACTCTCATTCTACAGTACCCCTCCTTCCCCCATCCTTCGCTGTCCATACCTCCCCCTTCCCCCCCATACCTCCCCCTTCCCCTCCCATACCTTCCCC